GTTAAATGGAAATGGAAATGGTAATGAGAAAGCATGATTTTTAAATTAATAAAAATGAGGAATTGTTTATCAATACTGTATGTGTGAAATTATTGGAGGTATTTTTCCACACAAGAGAATACATAAGTATCATCTGATCGTATAACTGAGAAGTAAATAGATCACCTCTGCATTTGCAAGAAAATCCAGTTAACATTGCATGATGTGTGGGTTAAGAACAGTGCAGATGTAGTATCAGACCACCATCTGGTTCTGGCTTCCCTGAGAATGCTCCTGACGTGTTCTTGTAAGCACATTGGACCTAGAATGGTCTACAGAGGGAGGCAAAGTTACCAAACCAGATCCAGATAGGCTTGTCAAACATTACAAAAATCTTTCTGAAGCTGAGGTTGTGACAGGTATTGAAAATGTGTGGGGAAGAGCAAAGAAGGCATGGATTGACTTTGTGAGGACATTATAGGAAGGAAAAGTCAAGTCATAAGGACTGGATGTCTTTAGAAACACTAGAAAAAAAGACAATAGAAAAAAGCATAAAGCAGATCTGAACATGAGATCTTGAAAAGCTTCAAGTAAAGGACAAATTCTCAAAAAATGTGTTTTCAGTACAGTGCTCAAGTAAATTTACTTCGTTATATGCAGTGGGCAGTATAGCAAACACTGCTCATCACCCTGAACACACCATCTCCACAGWCAAACATGGTAATGACAGCATCATGCTTGTCTTCAGCAGGGACAAGGAGGCTGGTCAGAGTTGACGATAAGCTAGATGGAGATAAAAAAAAAAGGAAATCCTGAAAATAAAACCTGTTGAAAGCAGAAGACTTGAGACTGGGGCAAAGCATCACCTTCCAGACAGATCGYCAGTTGAATGTGTTAGATCAAAGTCATGGGTTGAAATGAACCAGTCAAAGTTCAGATCTAAATCCAACTGAGAATCTGTGGTAAGACTTATAAACTGCTCTTGTTCTTTATCCAATCTGACAGAGCAAAAAAAGTGCAGAAATTTGAGCCTGTAGATGTGCCAAGCTGGCAAATACAGACCATAAAAACTTGTAGCTGGAGATGCAGCAAAAGGTGTTTCTACAAAGTATTGACTTCGGGGAGCTGGATACAAATAAATGCTAACCTTTTACCATATTTTTTGTAATTCAGTTCAATTTATTTATTTAGAGCCAACTCACAACCAGTGCCATCTCAGAAGCACTGTCCAAAAACATCCACATACATTATATAAAAAACACATACTCAAGTTGTCTACCTAAGGAGGCTAGCAAATTGCATGAAACCTTTTCTTTTTTGGCATCTTCAATCCTGAGTGGTTTGTTGGCGACAGCGGGGAGGAATAACAAGAAGAAACCTCTAATATTTTGATGACCTGGGATCATTTTTCTGTCTCTTTAAGAGTGTGGTAGCTGCTAAGTTTGAAGACTTTTCAAAGGCACTGTTTCACTGTCAAAAATGTTATGTAGACTCACTCTATAGAGAAATTGTGTCATGTTGATGTCATAGTCAAAGTTTACATTTAACCCCTCCAATGTGCTCACAGGTTCGAGGAGTTGGACCTCTGAACCGCCGAGGCTTCTACCTGGCCTTCCAGGACATCGGTGCCTGCATCGCCCTCACCTCTGTACGGGTCTACTACAAGCACTGCGTTGGCGTGAGCCGCAATCTGGCCGTTTTCACCGACGTGGTGACGGGGGCCGACTCGTCCTCCCTGGTGGAGGTCAGAGGTCAGTGTGTGGACCACGCTGAGGAAAGGGACACGCCGAAGATGTACTGCAGCGCAGAGGGCGAGTGGCTGGTTCCCATCGGGAGGTGTGTGTGCTCAGCAGGATTCGAAGAGCACAGAGATTCTTGTGTTGGTAAGTCACCTGACCAGGCCTCAGTTCTGTCTACCCTGGTTTTATTAAATCTGTGTGAAGCCTGGATCTGCACTTATCAGTAAAATGAGAGTTCTAATCTTTATTTTTTCAGATCACAACACAGGTTTGGGCAAATCTAAATCAAATCATAAATAGTTTTTATGTGTGCTGCCACTTTAGGAGAGTCAACAAAGTAATTGTTGTTAATGTATGTAGCTTCACTGAGTAGAAACACACAGACCACACAAACAACACTGAAGAGGAGTTTGTTTTCGTTAGGTTTTGACATCAATGTCAAGATTAAAGTCTAAATATTATTATCAGCCATTGTAGCAATACTGACATGAAAAAGTCATCTTTCAAGACTAAGTCAAAGGAAATAAACCTCAAAGTGAACCTGTTCTGTTTGCTATTATACTATCTGAGAATCCTGAAAACAGTTTTACTGGTTCAACTCTAAGAAAACAAAACAAACAAAAAAGGCAGTGTTGTATTTGACCAATCCAAAGTGAGGTTTATTTGTGAGTAAACATCTGGGGTCAGATTTAAAAAAGATTGCGTGGAAACCATACTAAAAGTGAACGTACAGCCAAAAGGCGAAAATGGCGTACGCCAAAAAAATTCTGATTTATAAAACCATGCGCACCTTTCCTTTATAAGATCACAGCTGCACCTCAGAGTTTGCGCACGAGGTCCCGCCTCAGGTTCTACCCTCTACACGCCCACATTCAACSATAAACAGTCAATGCAAAGTACCTTATGAATGTTAAGGTGTATTTAAATCAGTCAGCTGATCAATGTCAACAAAAAGAGATTAGCCGGTTCAGACACGTGCTCCGTCGTGCGTCTGGAGGATGACAGGTGCTGACTGACAGCTGCTCACGTGAACAGAATGTCTGTAATTGACACAGATTTTCCCTCATTCTGCAGGTTTCAGATGTTTAGAGCAATCTAATGATTTATTTCAAAAACTCAGCTTCAAATTAATTTTCTCTCAGAGCCTGCAGGACTATAAAACAATAAATAAAATTAAATAAGTCAGATAAAGTTAAATTCACTGCTCTTCTCCCCCGTCCTCCCCCTCCCACCTGCTGTTATCTGCGGCTGACCCTCTCCTTACCCCACACCCACACCCCGCGCATGCATGASAAATACGGACATTAAAAAGTGAATCTCTTATAACACATCCATGCTGGCGAGGGTGCCCGCACGCAAAGCATGACTATAATCAAGCTRTTTGCTGTCGTGCTTCGCTGAAAAGTCTCTTGTCCCGGAGGGGTCTGTGGGTCAGGGTCATGAGGTGGAAGGAGATGGTTGGAGATGTGTGAACTTTTATTTAAGATTTAAGTTTTTTATTTCAAAGATCCTTATGGCTCAGCAGCAGAAACATAAATTATACTGTTAAGAAATCTAAAGTCTATCTAAAATCTAAGTCTGATTATGAAGTGAAATTAAATATCTGACAGTGATCATGATGCAGTGTGGCCATAATTCCTCACTTCACCATCTGTGTCYCAGTTTCCCGTCTCCAAAATGAGCGTACGCATGGGTCAGAGCTGGCGTGAGGCACCGCACATTTTCACGTCAAGTTTGGATTTTATAAATCACAACCTTGGTGTGAAAAGTGGCGTACGCAAGTTTCTGGGCTCATTTTGTGCATACGCAAGCTTTATAAATCCGACCCCAGAAGCTTATAAAAATACCTTACAATTTGGACTCTGCACATGTTTAAGACTCTTGTTTCGAAGGACTGAAACAAGCTCCATGAGTTTCAGTGCAGTCATGAAGACAACGCTTCAGACTGGTTCAACTAAAAAGTTGTATTTTTTGTTGTTAACTCAATAAAAATGAACCCATGACTCTCAGAAATAA